TATTTCAACAGGTAAAAAGGACTGAATGAGCTATAATCTGTCAAATATAACAACAATGAATGAAATCAAGTCATTTTGAGGCAGAAATAACAGTTCACTCAATAAGTAGAGTCTGTAATCACTTTTTGGCAAGTGTAAAACTGCATTTTATGGGTATTTCAACAGGCAAAAAAGACTGCATGAGTCTGAATCTGTTAAATATAACCCTCGAATGCAATCAAGTCATTTAGCTCATGCAGTCCTTTTTACCTGTTGAAATACACATGAAACGCAGTTTTACACTTGCCAAAAAGTGATTACAGACTCTACTTATTGAGTGAACTGTTCTTTCTGCCTCAGAATGACTTGATTTCATTCATGGTTGTTATATTTGATAGATTATAGCTCATTCAGTCCTTTTTGCCTGTTGAAATACCTTTAAATGGGCAATAAAACCCATAAAATGCAGTTTTACACTTGCCAAAAAGTGACTTGAGGCAGAAAGAACAGTTCACTCAATAAGTAGAGTCTGTAATCACTTTTTGGCAAGTGTAAAACTGCGTTTCATGTGTATTTCAACAGGTAAAAAGGACTGCATGAGCTAAATGACTTGATTGCATTCGAGGGTTATATTTAACAGATTCAGACTCATGCAGTCTTTTTTGCCTGTTGAAATACCCATAAAATGCAGTTTTACACTTGCCAAAAAGTGATTACAGACGGCAATCAGTTTTCGGCAGACAATCAATTTTCGGCACGACACCGGTACTCACCCCTGCAGGAAACCTGCAGGAATGTGTAGAATTATGCGCAATCCCGCGCCGAAATTCAGGCCCTGCTTAACTAAGTAAACAAATACAAAACTATAGTAGCCTAGTGAAAGTAAAAAGTTGTCGGAAAAATAAAGTGAAGTAAAGTACTGATACCATAAAAATCTACTTAAGTACAGTAACTAAGTATTTGTATTTCGTTACTTTCCATCTCTGGTTGCACCCAAAGCGCGCGCACAGAAAGCCGCGTCTCAGACAGCACACCGTTACAGAACTGAGTTCACTTTTCGTCTTATCACGCTTAAACGTCCAAATACAGACAAAATTACGTCAAAATTGTCCTCGTAAGCACAGTCTTAACTAAGTTCAAATAAAAAGTTTTAAATTAACGTAAAACAAAAACGCAAAGGAACATTCCTTCACTGCTTCTGGTATTGTGACAAAATCTTTTCTTTTTGGACTAAAGTACATAATTTTTTACAAAGTCTTTTTAAGTTGAAATTTTGTTTTTCTCTGGAACTGTATTTGTTATACAGTGGAGTGGAGACTGTGTTTGACTTCCACACCAAACAACTGTTTCTAATTTTGGTTTATCTGGCAAAGAAATGTATATTGTTACTGTGGTCATCTCCTCAAGTACCCTCTTTTAAAATGTGGTTGTCTCAAATATCTACGTTACTTCCACTTGAGAAACTCACCTTTGATATACATCAAAAGTCTAATGATTTTTGGCAGATATGGACACCTCTCTGGTGCTACATTAACAACCTCTCTTGATCTTCTATTCTATGGTGCATATTTAGCCTCTAGCCTGACTGTATTAACTTTTCTACCTGATTGTATGCTTCTTATTGTTTTCCATTGTATAGCTGAGACTGTATCTGTATGTTTATGTGCATTTAGAATAATCGACTAATAAAAAAAAAATATATATATATATCTGATGTGTGTAGGCAGATCAGTGCATTTGGTTTGTAATTTCATAAAACTTTTTTTTTTTTGTCAAATATTTATTTGAACATGTAGCTCGTGTTAGTAGATAATGTAAACAGATGGAAATTGGATGCATAACAGTATTTTGGAACCGTGCATTTGGCAACAGCCTATAAATTGATGCTGTCTGTCATTTAGCTTTGAAAAAAAAAGAATCTATATTTAATTGATACAGTGAACAATGTTCAGCGTTATTTTATACTTAATTATTACATCACTGTACCTGAATACTACTGTTAGACCTTATTTTATTTGTAACTTCGTTCTATCCCAGGCATGTCAAACTCAGCTCCTGCAGAGTTTAGTTCCAACCCTGCTCCAACACACATACCATGTAGTTTTCAAATAAGCCTGAAGGACTTGATTATCTGGATCAGGTGCATTTAATTAGGGTTGAAGCTAAACTCTGCAGGGCTGCGGGCCCTCCAGGAACTGAGTTTGACACCCGTTCTCTTGTATTTATCTATGCTTGCTTGTAATTTGTGTAGTTGTTCTTATTTTATTACTGACTGTTAACTTGTTATAAATAATGTTTGAACTTTATCGCTTAGGCTAGTAGTTTTGCTGCTGTATCAAAAAGTACTTAAAAGTGTTCTTTAAGTAACAAATGGAAAGTTATATTTTTTATTTTACGTATTTTATTTTTTTGCTGATCCAAAAGGCTCTCTCAGACTGTATAATGTGACAGACTGCAAGTTGTCAAGTCCGGTTCAGTTCACACAGCAGGGCTTCACCGAAAATGTGGTCTAACTGACGGGTGCGAGTTTGGTTATAGAATGCGGATTGCACTCCCATAAATAACTGAAATGTGTGTGAACACAACCATACACTCAGAAAAAAAGGTACAAAAGCTGTCACTGGGGCGGTACCTTTTCAAAAGGCACACCTTTGTACCTAAACAGTCCATATATTGGTACCTTAAAGGTACATATTAGTACCTACAAGGTACAAAAGTGTTTAGCCTTTAGCCCCGGTGACAGCTTTTGTACCTTTTTTTCTGAGAGTGTATTAGAGAATACAGAACTAACAAGACAACCATATTCTGCTGCTGTGTGAATGTGGCCATAGTGACTTGGGTCACTAACCAGAAGATTTTAGCATCTACCAAGCAATACCATGATGGTAACATCCTAGAAATTGGAGAGTATTGCAATAAAAACCTCTCAAAACGATTTAGCAGCTGCAGCAGAATGCCCTATAAACCACATAGCAACTCCACTCAGAAAACCTTTTCAACTGGATAGTGACACCGTGCCGTCTGAAGGTTGTTTAGCACCACCACCAGGACAAATGTGCATCAACACATCAAGTCCAATTGCCAAATGAAGGACTGTTACACAATGTCTTCTTAGGAATGTAGAATAAAAACATTTATTGAAACAGAACTCGAAACATCACAAGGCATCAGGTGAAATGGAAAATCCTACAGACGCTGTGATTTCTTGCTTCCCAGGCCACAAGTTTCAAAAGAAAACCGAAACCAGATTCATATTTAAAGCACCCTGTAGCAGTTACCAACATCAAATTATAATGTGCCTTTACTGCATTTATACAAGGTGCTAAAACACACTCTGTCCTTTTAAAGGGGGCTGTTCATTGGCAAATAAATACACACCTATGCATTAAACATAAATATAAATAAATGTGCTCACATAATAGTGCATACGGTACCACTGGAGGAGACTAGTTCATTCAGCATTTCAGTTTTATGTAATAAAAAGACATCACTGTTACAGAATGGACAGTTGGTGTTACATATTTAATGAACAACGAGATGCTGAAGTGCACAAAAGAATGAAAATCAAGCACTTCCGCTCAATATGCTTGTACTGTCACTTCAAATGAAACAAGGCTCTCATTATTGATTCCACTGTTGTTTAGATTGCCATAACATTGTAAAAGGTTGAAGCAGAGGGAGATATTTGGCCTTCAGTAAACTTAGATGAAACAGAGATGTAAAAATCTGCAGTGGTTGAATTTATCAGGTGTTCGGAACGCAGAGGAATGCAATGGAAATCATCCAGCGTTGCCCAAGGGTACCGCTCGAGCGACAGGTAAAAGACACAGCACATCCAGTCCCGAACATTCGACTGCCTGAGAGTACGTGCAAACACTCAACATGTGGAGTGCTAAATCAAATGGAACGATCTGTAAACACATTAGGGACCCACTCCACAGCCACATCTGTCGACGTCTACCTGCAGAGGAAGATCAAAGAAAAATTCATTATCATTACACCATAAAACACAGCTTTAGTGTTTGAGATGAGTGTTTCATTAATGCTGGAAAATGCAAATGACAACAAACAAGAACAGAGTTTGGCCCCGATCACACAGAACGCGTTTTTTTGCAGTGAGAGGCGCCTTTTTAAAATTGTTTTCGATCGGCAGTGAGCGTTCTGCGTGCTGTTTATGCGCCCTGTGCGTTTTTGCAGGAGCGCTCTGAGCGCCTGGAGTTGAAAAAAAAGCAACTCTGAGCAGAAAAAGCGCTCGACGTCATTCGCGTTTTTTTCCATTGTCCAATCGAATGAATGGAGAGGCGGGCCCTTCCATTGTGGTGACGAACGTTTACCGTTGCTTAGAAAGGCCAGAAACTGCAATGATGGAGGAGAACATTTTGGTGTCTGTCGTGGGTTACCTGGTGCTGTATTTTTTAAGGTTTCTGCTAATATGACAGTTTACTTCACAGCAAAAACCAAAGATTTTAGAGCGCTCATGCTATAATCCTTTGATTAGACTGACACGACAGCTGATTTGGTGGTTGCCTAGCAACATAAAAAACGCAAAAACTGCTTTTTTTTTTTTTTTTTTTTTTTTTTAAGTCACCAAAAAAAAAATGGCAGTGCGGTGCGCCTCGCGTTTTCAGACCTAAAAAACGTGTTCGGGGCCTTTTGTCAGGCTTATAGGAGAAGTGTTGTTATATCTCTGATACGTCACTTTTTTCCAAACCTGTTCCTGGAGACACAGCAATACTACACATTTTCAAACCGATCCTAATGAAACACACCTGGATCAGCAGCTCATCAGTAAATGCCTGGGTCATGTTTAAGCACAAAATCAAAAGAAATTAAATGAAATTATATTTAGAATTTTTGCATTGTGCCACTTAAAGGGGTCATATGATGCGATTTCAAGTTTTCCTTTCTCTTTGGAGTGTTACAAGCTCTTGGTGCATAAAGAAGATCTGTAAAGTTGCAAAGACTAAAGTCTCAAATCCAAAGAGATATTCTTTATAAAAGTTAAGAGTCAACCACGCCTACCTAAAACGCCTCATTCTAACACGCCCCCACATATCTACGTCACGATGTGGGAAGATTTGCATAACGCCGCCCAAATGTTCACGCAAAGAAAGAAGGCGTAACTTTTATTCTCGCTGTAGTATTGTTGTTGCCGCCATGTCCTGAAGACGCTGTGTGATTCGTTGTGAAAGCGAAACTACTTTGTTTGGTCTTCCAAAAGAGGACGATATCGCTTTGTCATGCCTAGAGCTGATCCGTGCTGGTCGCTGAGGAAATACAACAACTTCGCGCTGTCGATCGCCAGATCGGCTTTCACCGTGGACGAAGCGGAGTCCAGCCCGGAGTCGTCACATGTGGTTGCCGCAGGCATCACAATATGGTAAAGGACATAAAATTTCCGTCACACGCTTGAGGTATTCGGCCAATCACAACGCACTGGATAGCTGGCCAATCAGAGCACACCTCGCTTTTTCATAACGATAAGCTTTGTAAAAATCGACACGTTTCAGAAGACGGGGCATAGAGGAGAAACAATAATGTACAGTATGTGGAAAATAATGTGTTTTTGAAACTTAAACCGCATAAACACATTTCATTACACCAAATACACAAAATACTGTTATTTTTAGCAGCATCATATGACCCCTTTAAAAAAATAATAATAATAATCTATCAAAGATAGTAGTAGTACTAATTCTACCATGATCAATGAATACCTCTAATAATATACTGTTTTATCACTACAGTATTTTTTTCCCCACATTATGTTAATGAGAATTGGGGCAGTGTTGGGTGTAATGCATTACTAAGTAATTAATGTAATGCAATTAATTTTCCCTTGTAAAGTAAAAATGTAAAGTAAGGGATTACTCTGAATTTTTTAAACCCAGTTACTTTTGATGTAATTACAAAAAATACTGTATAGACTATAGAGGATTCTATATAAAACAACAGTGGATTTAATGTTACAAAAATTAACATCTGATGTTAAAATGTATGTTTTTAATGCGACCAAATACTTTGGTCAGTTGGAGAATAATTTATGCAATTTTATATTATTTATTTGAAAGAATTAAAAGAGCCGTTTCATGTCTATCCATGTATTGTATTGTAACTGGTTGAGGTTGAAATGGGATTTATAAAGTATTAAATAGTAATAAGTAATTCAATATTTTTAAAAGAGAGTGTAATTAGTACAGTAATCTAGTGACACTAGATGTAATTAGTAGCTAGTAATTAATTACTTTTACTTTAGATGCTGTTATTTAAGTGAGAAAGAATGGTATGATTACTACTCACAAAATCTCATGAAACCTGTCAAGAACATGCCTAGGTCATATCACAAAAAAAATTTAAAAAATAAAAATAAATTATTAATGATCCTAATAAGGCCTGCATACAAAATATAACTAATGTCATACTTCGGATTAAAAATGTCTAAGGCTTAATAAAGGTGTGAGTGATAGGGCTGCACGATTAATCGAATGCGATTGTCATGCGCATTTTGCTTCACTGAAAGATACGCATGACAATCGCAGCTTCTGTCGAATTGCGATCTCGATTCCATTTCGATTTATCGTGCAGCCCTAGTGAGTAGTGCAGTAAAATACCTTCAAAGACATTTCAGCACCTCCCAAATATCATCTATTCTTCAGCCTGCTAACGCTCACTCTGGATGTTTTATTCTGAGAAGACAAAAAAAAAAAAATGAAGTGATCATTATCAGCAGTGAAGGTGATGCAAGAGGAGGACAATAAAGCTGAGAAACCCAGTCTATTATGCTGCAAACTCGTGTCATTTTCATAACTTAAACTCATTGTTTCGGAGAAACTCCAGCTAAATCAGTATCTGTGAGTCACCTTGTGCTTCGGGCATCTTATCGTTAGATTCTCCTCGTTGAGCGCACTGTCTGTGTGGAGACACAGCAGCACAGATAAGCACCTCGACAAAGATGATGACATGAAAAAGAACACAAGCATCAGTGCAACAAAACGGAGACGAGCGAGAAACCCCAGAACAGCCGGAAATGGGAAACAAACTGACGCCTTACAAGAAGCTAAAATCTCAATAGGGCTTTTCAATTAAATGCAGCCTGAAAGTTGTGATTAGTGGTCAGTTTGTGCGTCAATGTATGTTTTGAACATCTTTTTTTTTTTTATTTGATGTCATTTTTTGCTAAAATGAGCATTATAGTAATTATATCTTCACTTAGTTATCACCAAAGTGCTCTTTATTTTATTGTAGATCATTAGACCGTTATATGCTGCCTCAGAAGTCTGTTCGAAATCAATTTCAGGAGGTACCTTTGTACCTCATTGCCCTGAAACGCATTTGTCATTCGCCACTGCCTTGAAACAAAGATTTGTTTGTTTTTTTGTTCAACCAAACTGACACTGTAGTTTTGTACAATGTACACTGCATTACTTTTGGATTCAGTCTGCATGGTCTCACGAGAACTGATGACCATTACCTGACTGCAGGGCACAGGGGAAGTGGTACTTATTGGGGCAATCTTTGAAGAAACATCCCAAAGTGGCACCAACCATGTGACAGTACGAACACACCTGCAACAACCAAACACAACAGCACTTTACAGATTCAGAAGATTCAGAGACAGTGTTATTATATAGAGCTATAATAGTCAGACAATAACCAAAAAAAATGCCCAAAATCGTAGATACATATCATAATGCAGTTCATCACTCACACTGACAAATCAATGAAAAAGCCCCAGCATTGTGCACTGCAGCCTATGGCTGAAATAACCACTGAGCTATTAATGGACCACGGACCAACTGGGGTGAATTCTCACAGGTGAGAATGTGTTGGTTTCTGTTTTTATGTAGCTAATATATGCAAAATTAGCTAACATTAATGATAAAACTAAAACACCTGATACAATCTATTGCAGATATACATATTTATACTTGTGATGAATAATTACCGCTGCAGATGCAGTCAATTTGCTTTCGATTGTTTATGGACCTATTTTATGAACAGATTTGATGGTACCAATATGATGGACATCTTATATTTTGAGTGCATCATTGCCTGCCCACCTTCTCAGCAGTGTTGGTTTCGAAAGTATTTTTTCCATTAATTTCCCCCCAGCAATTAAAAAAAAAAAAAAAAAATGTCTTTGTTTGAAACATTATAAGCCATTAACCAAACAGCATCACGGATATTGTAGATTTCCACCAATAATTCTGCTATTAAACATGATTATTTTTAAAATTTACTTATTTTTTACTTGCTACCGCCAATACATCCACAACATGCTGCTGTGAGCATGTAAGAAATATTGCTGCTGCACATATAACACATATGAATAACCCCCATATAGCATAAAATAGAACTGTAAAAAAAAAAAAAAAAACCTCCCACTTTCATAATGCAAAATATAATTTCTTTTGATTTTGGGGAGAAATATGACCCAGACATTTCTTCATTAGATTCACTCTGACAGGGGTAGAAAAAGACTTACTGTTCCTTGTGCAAGCCGGATGGCTTCCTCCAATCCGTAGAGTTTCCCTTTAACCAAAAAGATGCCTGCGGTCCAAATGCTACAGTCCTCATGTATCCAGTGCTCACTACACACACCAGACTCCTCAACGCTCTCCGAGCAGTTCTCCTTCCTCTGCCGTCTGACAGACTGGGACGCACCGTCCTCCAAACTGTAGACCGAGTCCAAATCGCTGCAGTCAGGTTCCTGCTTTTGGGCAAGAGGACTGCTGTCGGATTTACAGACGGCCTGAGCTCCGCTGGAGTAGTACGGTCCATGCAAATCCCCAAGGCCTTCAATGTTGCCAGCTCTTCCACACAGGCAGCAGAAACGCCTGACCTCTAACCTGGCATCGGAGGCAACACGGCCCAGCTGCAAACAGGACGTCTTCGGGATGACCCCCGAGACCACCTGCTGCGACCCTTTCTTCGTCGAATAAACATCCTCTTCCCTAAAATTGACGATTGTGCAGGATGAGAACTCCATGTGAACGTACGGGGCGAAGCTGTCCGGCCTGCTGTCCTTCTTCTCTTCTTTGTGGTCTGCATATTTTAATTTGATCTCCGGCTCTTGAAAAGAAAACATGGATGAAGGTCCAGATGAGCGAGGCTTTCGGCGTCTTCTCTTTGCCAATTTGCCGGCCGGCGGCGCTCTGACCGGCTTAGCGGGTTTGGGTCTTGGTTTCGCCCGTTTCCTACTCTTCGAGGCCGGAGTTTTCCACAAACGGCTTGACATTGAAGATGAAGCCCCACTCTGTGGAGACTTGAAGACGCTTGTGTTTTCAGCATCTGAGGTAGATGGGAAGTTTTCGGGAAAAGCGGCATCCATGTCTTGATCGCTGTCTTCTGGAGATATGGCAATACAGACCGACTCCATCCATGACAGCAACGACTTGGATTCAGAGTCGGCTCTACCGTCACTGCCTTCAAAATCAGGTTCATCCAGGGCATAGACATTGTTCACATGTTTGGGAGAGCAGTCCATTGCAACTTTGTGCTTCACGGAGGAATTTCCTCGTCTTCCACGACTTCTCTCATTAACTATGACACTCCGAGTTCGGGAGCGGCAGCTCGGAGGCATCTTGCATCTGGAGTTGCTGACTGGCACCTCAATGACGTCACTGTCATCTGCACTAGAGATGTATTCGACGGAGCATGGAGATGTTTTCTTAGCGCCGGTGCATTCGGATGCGAGCGTTTCGATGGCAGTTTGCTCAACCGCTGAGCTGGTGGAACGTAGTGTGTATGCGTCCTGAGGTAAACATGATGAGCCCTTAGTTTGTGACATGCTTGTGTCACTCAAGTATGTTTCCCCACAACTGGTCACAATGTCTTGTGGATGCATCTCTTTATGCGCTATCCTGCCTCCCAACACAGAATCTGCTTTTTTGAGACTATTTTTAGTTTGCGTTAACACATGGCCCATTTCCATACGGTAATCACTGTCATCCGTAAACACTTGGTCTGTGGTCGGGCACTGAGACAGTATCTGAGCCACAGATGGCAAGCCATTGATCAGGGGTAATGGTATAGAGTAGGGGCTGTGGGATGACGTGCCATGACGCTTCGATCCTGGTTCGGGGTGATCAGGTGAATTCGGTTTGCTTGGCCAAGTGATGCACCGAGACTCGGACGTGTTAACGCTCTTGCTCCCTGAGGTAATGCCACACCAGCTGGGCTTTTTCAGCAGATCCAACCCCTCTATGGAGTTTGTCTTTAACGGACTCTGTCTGCAGCCCACGGACAGATCTAGAGCTGAGGAACGAGACTCCTGAAGGTGCATGACATCAACCTGGTTAAGAGGCTCCATAACTGAAAGAAATCAAACTAATTTAGCCATCAATAACCTGGCCTCTGGATCCGCTGGCTTATTACAATATGCTAATAAAGAAAAAAAAAATCTACATAGTAAAACGAGTAAAAATGTATTTAATAATAATAATGAAATCATCAAATTTAGCCAATTATTTAATAACCTGATATTTATTAATCTGAGCAATATGGACTCTGGGTGTATTACAACATACAAAAAAATAATAATTTCATCAAATGTAGTCAATCATTTTAAAGTTAATTTCCTGTCCAATGTGAACTCTGCTATTAATATGTAAAAATGTATATTTAAATGTAATATTAATAATCATAATAAAATCACAATTAGGAGTTAACAGCCTGGCTTATTACAATATGTTAATAAGGGAATCAACCCAGTAAGTAAATAAATAAAGGAGTTACTAATCTGGCCAACATGGATTAAATTGAAAAAAAAAAAAAAAACATTAATAATAATAATAACATTAAAGGCACTACAACAGATACAACCATGACATACAATACATTTAATTTTTTTAAATTAATTATAACTTAAGAATGCAATAACTATATTACTGTAAAGCAAAATAAATAAACACAAAATGTTATTTATTAGAGGAATCGCTGTGCCCAGTGCGGTGATAAAAATTAAAGATCGAATTTCTTATAGAACTGAAATATGAACTAGGCAGCTTACTGACAGATTTTCGATATTTGCCCAAAAAGTAAACTTGAAATGAAGCGCTCCTTAACGAAGAACAATCTCTTCTGATTGAGTTCCCAAAGTGAATGTGAAAGCAAACGCATCCTGCAGACTGACAGCATCATGATCTCCCACACACACACACACACACACACACACACACACACACAGAGCAGAGGAGCAAAGCAGCACATTCATTCATCTGAGGCACGATTACACCTGTTAATATTGTTTACTCGGAGTTGTACTGCGCCATTGATCTATTGACTAATGTGGATGAGCCACAGAAGCGGCTAACAGCTAACGCTAGCCAGGTGTCAATGCAACACTCACCAGAGGAATAAAGCGTCTCTTTACTACCCAGAGCTACTGAGCATATCATCAAAGGCACGTGTACTTAAAACAATTAATTCTGTCTAAAACACGTACAGATTAAGTACATAGGAGAGTAAAACTCCTGGCGAAAACTGAACAAGGCAGTTCTTCTGTGTGGACTAAACATGGCGACCGGAAACCGAGCGCAATAGAACTGCTTTCAAAATAAAAGCGCATCTGATAATGTCTTGAGGACGCTAAATGATGAACCCATTTCCACGAAAACAACAGCATATAATGGAAAGAAAGCATAGATAGGAATAATAAATATCCAAATGTAAAATTACTAACTTTGGTAACACTTTACAATAAGGTTCATTAGTTAACATTAGTTATATACAGTATATGTTTTTTTTTCATAATTAGTTTTATTGCATTCATTGATTGCATCCTTTGTTCCGTAATGCACATCAGATCCACATATTATGACAGTGTTTGAGCATAAAGTCAAGTTTACTGACAAAGAAAAATAACAAGTAACAACCACAAAACTTTTCCCACCAACTAATAAACGAATAAATATATACAAAATTAATGTTCTGTGTAAATCAACAGGAAAGGCATATGCAATATGCACTCATTATCAAATACATTTTAAAGAGATTCAAAAAAAAGAATTTTCTGGTAAAAGACTAAATGATACCGTTAATAGCTTACTGATCATTTAATACACTTCAGTGTCTTTTAAAACCTTTACAATCATAACTCATGCCAGCAGCATACTTTGAACTATAGCTTAAAGGGAGGGTGAATAATTAATGACAGAATTTTCATTTTTGGGTGAACTAACCATTTAAACATTTTAAATCTATTTGCTTACTGTTTGGTGGCTGTTAGGTGATTGGTAGATGGGAAAAAAGTCACCCTTTTTAAACCACTTAAGTAAATGTAAGTAAATACCAACTATTGAGATGAATAATGTTAAAAGATTTTTTTTAGATATTACCCTGTTTAACCAAAAACACAATCTGGCCTACATTTTAAAAATGATTATTCACTGGTAAACACTGTAATACCTAAATACACTACAGTTCAAAAGTTTGGGATCAGTAAGATTTTTATTTATTTATTTTTTTTTTTTGAAAGAAATTAATACTTTATTCAACAATGAAGTGTTAAATTTATAAAAAATGACAGTACAGACATTCACAATGTTACAAAAGGTGTACACTTCAAATAAATGATGGCCTTTTTATCTTTTTATTCATCAAAAAATCCTGAAAAAATGTATCATGGTTCCACAAAAATATAAAGCAGCACAGCTGTATTCAACACTTCTAATCAGAAATGTTTCTTGATCAGCAAATCAGCATATTAAAATGATTTCTGAAGGATCATGTGACACTGGAGTAATCACGGGATTAAATTACATTTTTAAATATATTACTTTATTACTTTTATGTATTATATAAACTTTTCAATTGTAATAATATTTCACAATATTGCTGTTTTGCTGTATATTTTCATCAAATAAATGCAGCCTTTGTGGGCATAAGAGACTTATTTTTCAAAAAAATCGTTCCGACCACAGACGTTTGAACAGCAGTGTAAATCTCTAAATGCATAAACTTCCCCAATGAATGTGCTGTAGCCACGCTCTTGTTTTTTAAGCACATATATTCTTCTATCTTTACATATTTATGCCTTTAGCCCAGTGGAGGACACAAAAAAACAGCACTGTGCTGTGTAATTACTCACATGTTGGAAGTAAGGAACAATGCAAGGAAATAGTAGTGTCCTGGACCCAACAGTAACACGATCACAGCAGCTTTTAAAAGTAATGCAAGAAAGTTACTTTTAAAAGTAATGCATTACAATTTTGCGTTAGTCCCTGAAAAAGTAACTTATTGCGCTACTTAGTTACATTTTATGAAAAGTAATGCGTGACAATACTTTTAAGTTACTTTTTCTCACCTGGGCTGGGCTTGCTTACAAAAAATAAATTAATAACAATAACTCTTATTTCAGCAATAAATAAAAAAAGTGATGTTTAGTTTAACTAAAGTCATTTTTGTTTATTCGTACGGTTGAATTGGACCATCAAAGGTCAGCAGTGAGATTAAATACATATGTGTTATTTAACATAGTTTGCATTCCACTGTTTTTATTAATTTCGAGGAATACTGAATCTGTTTTTGTGCAAGTGAGATATGAGTAAATGCATGTTCACATTTAGTCCAGAACTACAGTAAGCATCGTGTTTACACAACGCCTCTACACTTACTCCCGATTTCTCTCAACATGGAAACAAGTGAGGTCTCAATCAATAAATTGGAAACAAAGTAACTAGTGTTACTTATTTGAAAAAGTAACTCAGATATTTTGTTGTAAATGTAAAAGTAATGCATTACTTTACTAGTTACTTGAAAAAAACTAATCTGATTACATAACTCGAGTTACTTGTAATGCGTTACCCCCAACACTAGCTACAACTATGATGCACCTGAATCCAGCTCCATACATGACGCTCTTGGCAAGCGAAGGCAGGACATCCTGAGGAATGAGGTGCTCTGTAAAAATCATGGTGAAGTTATTGCAGAACGCCTGGATAAAGTTCATGATTACAAACAGCTGGAAGTCTCTGTTGGTAAGGATCTGCCAGGTCATGGACATCACGGACGACACCGAGAGCGGCGGCTTCTGAGGACTCTGGGAACCTGCTTCAGAGGTTTTACTATTGAATCGACTCTCGCTGTTGAATCTGTGTACATCATGCAAACGCAGGCCAGCACAGCCACCACTACACTGAAGCTCTGAAAGGCAGTGTAGTGGTATACAGTGTAGTGGTATACATAACCTGTGGAGACATAACTGTGGGATCTTTATTGGTCCAAATAGTATTTCAAATAAGCATTTTGCAGATTTATATAGTGTCAGTAACACACATTATGTTCAGTGCTGAGAACGTTGTGCTTGATTTGATTTGATTTGAACCTGTATGACTTTGTTCAAACAGTTTTGGCTACCAATAACTTTACACTGAATGGACAAAAACAAACAAAAAAGACAGGTTACACTTTATTTTGATCGTCCACTTCAGACGTTCTACTAACTATTAAAGGGGTCATATGATGCTGCTAAAAAGAACATTATTTTGTGTATTTGGTGTTATGAAATGTGTTTATGAGGTTTAAGGTTCAAAAAACACATTATTTTCCACATACTGTACATTATTGTTGCTCCTCTATGCCCCGCCTTTCTGAAACACGTAGATTTTTACAAAGCTCATCGTTCTGAAAAGCGAGG